GGGGGGGGGGGGGGGGGGTACTACATGACAAATAATGTTGGTATTACACTGCCCACAAGGGGGAAAGAGAGGGGTACTATGTTGCACACAAGGCCAGATGGAAACGCACTTAGTATGACACAAGGCAAACCGAAGCACACAAGTGGGGAGAGGAGTGTACTACATGCCACACAAGGGTGAGAGAGGGGGCTACTATATGCCAAACAATCTTACCTGTACTACATGGGAAGATGGGGGCATTACATGGCACACATGGTCACATGGAAAGAATGCGGTCACAGTGCTTGGCAGACAAGAACAGAAAGAAACAATTCCAGCAATACCACTGGATTTGTTCCGAATGCGTACGAGTTGCATGAAGGTTTCACGACGAATTCGAGGTGTCGCTGTAACCTTGAAGAGCTATGCTAGCCCTTCCAAGGAGAGAACAGGCATCGTTCCAATACACAACACTCTATATGCATTTGGACGCCGTCTGGACCAGATGCATTCAGTCGAATCCAACATTTTGAATGCACCCTGTCCAGAAAGCGTCCAAATGCATGTGGAGTGTTGTGTAGTGGAGTGAGGCCCAATGAATCAGGAATCATGATTCAGGAGGCATTCATTGCAGCTCAGTCTGCAGTTAGGAAATGGCCTCGCTCCACTACTCACCAAACGCAAAAATGGCAGGTCTGTCTTTACACTTTTGATGCCGTGATACACTCGCCCCTTCTCACATTTGGTGATTTCTGGCGTGAGGCCCTTAGCACCATGGAATTAGAGAACTTTGTATTCAATTAAGTCTTTCTAGGGATGGAAAATGGAGAACAGCGAAAGTTATTTAACGTATGCGAACTGTTGAATACAGACCTGACTTCAAACCCAGATGCAACCGGATGACCAGAACAAACTCATTCTGAATTCCCCTCTACCTACAACCGGTCAGTTCAGTCACTTCAGTGATGATATCTCAAGCAAAAAAAAGACCAGACAAGGAAATTTCTAGGCTACCAGCCAGGGCGCCCGTGTCACCTTGTTTGCCCGGGCGGCCCGGCCGTGCAAGGGCCAAAGAAGGTCCCAGCAAAAAAAAAAAAAAAAAAAAAAAAAAAAGTTAAAAAATCGTAAAAACGGTTTAAAAACCTGAAAAAAATGTTATGCAAAAACAAAAACTGAACAACTTTTGTCTCAGGGTCACATCGAAATTCTTTACCAAATTTGAAATAAAACATAAAGTTAATTTTTTTCTTGATCTTTTTTGGGTGGCCAAGAAGGAAAAAAAAAAGAAAACAAACAAAGACAAGGTTTACCTGGTATGTTGGGCGCCACATCTCTGCAAGCATAGAATCCTTACTGAAGGCCAGAACCAAGATTTGCAGGCATAGTTTCACAGCCTCTTCAACCACTACTCCCCACCTCTGCTCCGCTCTCTCGTCCAGCGCTTGTTCTACACCCATCATAAGAATCCCCATGAGGTTCCTGTAGATAACCTTGCCTGACATAAGATCCTGCCGGCAACCAATTCAACATCCCACTCAGATTTCTCATGGAACACCAGAGGAGTCGATCCTGTCCCATAATGCTTTCAAGATCTCACGCGCGACTTTCATCGGAGCACCAAAGGTCCCTCCCTCAGAAAGATAAAGGCCATGTGAACAGGCAGACAATAGATGTTTAAGTCTGGGAATTTTTTTTTGTGTTGCTTTTCCTGATTTTTTTAAATTTTGCACTGGATCTGTTCAGGTCCTGCCAAGCCTGGGCATTCTGCACAGCTGGACGCAGCGCTGGACCTTGCCTGTCGGGCCGTTCTAACCCAGTGGGGCATCACACTACCCAAAGTGCATCACACAGGTTCTGGGAAGCCGGAGACCCCCCCTTGGCGACCTGCCTGGCTGCCCGGCCACGGATTCCAAGTAACCTGCCTTCTTCACCCGAATAAAATGTACGGTCATTAAAGATGTACTTGGGGTATATTTCAGACTAAAATTCTCTAAATACACCTATAATGACTGTACGTTGCATTCGGGGGAAGAATGTAGGTGCACCATAAATTTGTGAACTGCAGTTACTGCACCAAAATTATTGGAAAACTACACAGGTGACACATCTCGGACGGCATTCAAACAATACATTTGTGCGCTCATCTTCAATGGACTCAACAAATAGCATTTTGGCGCTTGTGGAATAGCTTCTCAGCCCAACAATTAAAGTATGCTATTTTGGCCCTTGTGGAATAGCTTCTCAGCCAAACAATTAAAGAACTTCCGCTGGGATAGCTTCCCAGCCAAAATAATGTTCCCTGTCACATCCTTTTTCTTAGAATACTTTGAAATTTTATTAGTACCCTTACTACTTTTGGTCCACATGCACCACACGCAGCTCAATGCTCAACAACTGCATCCAGCCTCTCTCTCTCTCTCTCTCTCTCTCTCTCTCTCTCTCTCTC